CAACCATTCGCGCTCACACTATATATATATATATACACACACACACACACACACACACACACACACACACACACACACACACACACACACAGTATTTTCCACATTATAGGGCACACCTAAAATCAAATCAATTTTCTCAAAAGCTGGCAGTGCACCCTTTAATCCGATACGTCTAATGTAACTCTGTTTATATTCCCCATGGAGATGTTTCCGTTAGTTTTCCGATGCCATCAGTGGTGACTATTAGCAGGAAGCAATTGTAACGTAAAAGGGTTCTGCCCGACACTAATTGACATGTGCATTTGTTCACACAGACTCAAACCGAGAACTACTTTGTCAGCTCTGCGCAGCCAGTATCAAACAAAAATAATACGGAAAGCAGAGTTAACGACTGACTAAACGAAGGAAGAAGGAGACAAGCAAGACTTCTTGAGGATATTTAGCCCCGTGTGGATGTGAGCCTTTTTTGGTGAAACAATTATCTTCATCACTTTTTTTCATCACACGATACTGAAAGCGCTAATGTCTGCAGGCCAAATAATCGGTCAAGCCCTAGTAAGAAGTTTCATGTAATGGGCTGTTGGGGGTTTGACCCACCTGTATACTGGTGAGTGTGGTGTACTGGTAGGCTTTGACCACGCTGTAGTTTGCCTCCACGTCCACCAGCCCCAGCAGGAAGTACAGCAGCCATCGCCTGCAACCCATCTGGAACACACTCACGGGACCTCCCCATTCAAAAAGGGGGACAGGCCTGAGCATCAGCGACCGCTCCTTTCCGTTGCGTATGAATGCATCAATTGGAATCAGAGTATATGTATGCATGCCGGTAGACTGCTGACTTCCAACAAAGGACTGGTTGTCAGTCAATTATCAGGACAGTTTTAGACCAACAACAGATTAGGTGCCAGTCAGTTTTAGGTCACATTCGCCGTGTGAAACATTGCGGAAACAGAAATCGACTTGCTGGGGTCCGTGCATAAAATTGGCAGTTAAACTGCAAGATGTCCCCTTGCGGATAATGTCATAGACGCGACATGGGCAACTCAAGACCGCCTTGCACCCCTGATCATGTGTCCAAAGCACCCTCGCTGCAATTTTGACAGGTGTGGTATAGTAAGGCGTTTTTTCACCCTAAAAAGACAACTATGGGTAGTAAGGCGCTTTCAGCCCACAAAAAAAATGACCATGACCATAAGGCGTTTTTAACAAAAAAAAAAAAAACGATCATTTATAGTAAGGCGTTGTCAGCCAACAAAAAACGACCATGTATAGTAAGGCCTTTTTAGGTGAAAAAAATGACCATGTTTAGTAAGGCGTTTTTCGCCGAAAAAAACGACCATGTATAGTCATGCGTTTTTAGCCGATAAAAATGACCACGTATAGTTAGCCGTTTTTAGCGAAAAAAATGACCATGCATAGGAAGGCGTTTTTCGCCGAAACAAACGACCATGCACAGTAAGGCCATGTATAGTAAGGCGTTTTTGGCCGAAAAAAGCAACCATGTATAGTGAGGCGTTTTTATGTGAAAAAAAATGACCATGTTTAGTAAGGCGTTTTTAGCTGAAAAAAACGACCATGTCTCGGAAGGCGTTTTTTCACCCAAAAAAGACGACCATGACCATAAGGCGTTTTTAACGAAAAAAGCGACCATGCATAGTAAGGCGTTTTTAGGTGAAAAAAATGACCATAACTAGAAAGGCGTTTTGAGCTGAAAAAAATGACCATGTATAGTAAGGCGTTTTTTGGTGAAAAAAAACGACCATGTATATAGTAAGGCACTTTTGACAAGAAAAGCGACCATGTATGGAAAGGCGTTTTTAGGTGAAAAAAAATGACCATGTATAGTAAGACGTTTTTAGCCCAAAAAAGGAGCATGTATCATCAGGCGTTTTTTAGCCGAAAAAAACGACATGTATAGTCAGGCGTTTTTAGCCGAAAAAAAAAACGACTATTTATAGTAAGGCCTTTTTAGCCGAAAAAAACAACCATGTATAGTAAGGCGTTTTTTTTATCCCAAAAAAGACGACTATGTCTAGTAAGGCGTTATTAGCTGAAAAAAACGACCATGTAAAATAAGGCGTTTTTAACAAGGAAAACGACCATGTATGGAAAGGCGTTTTCAGGTGAAAAAAATGAATATGTATAGTAAGGCGTTTTTAGCCCAAAAAACAACCATGAATAGTAAGGCGTTTTTAGCCCAAAAAAAAAGACCATGTATAGTAAGGCGTTTTTAGTAAAAAAAACGACCATGTAGAGCAGGGGTGTCAAAGTCAAATGGACGGAGGGCCAGATAAAAATTTTTGCTGCAAGCCGAGGGCCGGACTGATCGAATGTTCATTGAAAATTTTAAAAATAACCACATATTGTTTATTGAACCAAATTTAATTGACTGAAAACCTAACAAATACATTCCAATACGGTCAGATAAATAAAGCAACATTTTTTTATGGCTATGTCAGTAAACTTTAATTTTCAACAGGCAAAAAAAAATTTCCTTTGTATAAAAATACCCATAACATGAATGAAAAAAGCCGATATTATTCAAGGCACTATCACTAGTCCATATTTTCTCTTTTAGCAAAAGTAGGCTAAATTTACT